CCTGTCGCGATTTCTCGTCTTCTGAGCCTGTAACTGTACGCAGTCCAGCCTTATCGCAAAGCATGTTTAGGTCAGATAAGGACGCTGTTCTGTGATATAAATAGATTTCCAGTTCTGGGTGACCTCATTGCGACTGATTGGTGCGCTCAAACGTTGTACCAGTTCCGTGCGTAGTTGTCGCGAGCTACCCTAAAGTAAATCAAGTACCTAAATGAATCTGCTAATTAGTAGGTTAACCGTGAACGTTTTTAAATACCTATGCACAGGTACGGAATCAGACGTTGTCCTTTTTACAGTAGATGTTTATTGTCGCGAGCTGGGAATGATATTCTTTGTTACGATGGATTGGTACTAGATATGAGACGTAAGTCATTGTATTGTGGAAGCTTTTCAATCGATGGCCAGCCAACGGCATTTTGATGAAAACAACCTTGTCCCGGATCAAGTCTCCTTCGTGTAGGTCGGCACATTTGATCCGAAAACAGGGGTCCTTTGTCGATGGAAACGAGAACGGGATGTGGGCGAACTTTTCAGAAGCAACATCTTGGCAATTATCTCCCACCGGAGTCTAAATGTCTAGCGTCACCAAACGTTGCGAGGGTTCGTGCAGTTCACCCACTGTCGGCCTGGAAGACGGAAGAACCGCGGCGCACCGAGCGACGAATGACCGAGCGTTGCGGGGCATGAACAGCAAAACATCGTTATCGGATCGCTTATGATGTTTATGAAGTTCTGCTACGTGTGTTATAGGTCCCATTCGTCCTCATAGACTATTATCAACTGAGCTATAACTATGCGAGAGAACTGCCATACCACGCAAAAGGTAAGTAAATCGCACGCGACGGAATAACGCTTCCCCCTTTGAGATCTTCCCTACCCTATAAAACCGCTCCACTAAGGACCCCCGTAGCATTCAGGTACCCGGCTCGCTAAACCCGGCGACGAGCTCGGCCAGTAGCAAAGCGACGTCCGCTTATCGAGCACCCAGTGGAGCTCAAAATGTCACCTCCCGCCGTCGTGTTTCAGCTTTCCACGTGGAAAACAGTTCCACCCAATTTAACAGCAATACGAGGAATCACCGTCGAATGGGGTGGTGACGGCCTAGACGGCGGAGAAAACGGTGGCTGCGCTAAAACAACAGCGGGGATCTGACCTGACTTTGGCTCCCCGTTGCAGGGGCTGCTGAAATGAAACGGAATAAGAGAGGCTATATGGGATGATAGGAGTCAAAGCGTGAGGGAAACAGACGATGAACGAGATCGTATAAATGTAACAAGGTTCCGGTGATTTCCTTTGTTTGGTCATCGGTCTTTATCGCTCAGTCTCTCGTTTCACCGCACTCTTTTGCAGTATTCACTCTTTACTCACTTCCCAGTGAACGTCATTCGTTATCTCACTACTCTTTCAGTCACTATTCAAAATGCGAGCTTCTCAGACCCTCATTGCCCTCAGTGGCGTTATCGGCCTCGCCCAAGCAGGCCCCTGCAAGCCTCACCCTCCCGCTTCTGTCATCTCCAGCACAGTTGTCATCAAGGGCGCCAGCAGGTAAGACATTAATCCGACCCTTTCAGCAATACCCACTAACAACTCTCAAGCACTGTAGCTATCCCTCAGCCCACCACTACTGCTGAGACCAGCACTGTAGAGACTCCTATTGAGACTCTCAGCACAGACGAGCCCACCTCAACCGAGATCAAGGTCCCCACTACGACCGCTGCCGTCGAGACCAGCGCTACATCCGCCACCACTAACGTCCCCGTCCCTACCCCCTGCGCCATCGAGCCCGGATGCCAAGCCGCCGGCTTCAACGTCGACTACTACAAGAACGTCTTCGAGCGCGGCTACGGAAACGACGAGATGTCCGTTCCTCCTTCCTACTACATCACCGATGATCTCACTCCTCTCGACTCCTCGGTCACAAGCGAGACATACTTCGCCCAAGACTACATGCAAGATCTTGCCGGCTACGCTCAGATCTTCCCTGATGCCGGCTACGCTGGAAAGGCCTGGTACATCGGCTACCACCGCACTCTCGCCGGCGGAATCAAGGTCGACGGCAACAACTTCACCCTCGTTTACACCGGCTACTACCAGGCTCCCGAGACTGGAACCTACGAGCTCTGCGTTACTGCTGACAACGCCAACACTCTTTACTTCGGCCAAGGCAACGCTTTCGAGTGCGGAACTGGCGAGACTGACCCCAACGCTCCTGCTCTCGTCCTCACTGCTACTGGTTATCACTTCAACAACCCTACTCAGTGCGGTCACGTTGACCTCATCGCTGGACGTCACTACCCTGTTCGCAATGTCATGGGTAACAAGAATGCTGTCTCTGCGTTTGAGTTCTCTGTCACGACTCCCAGTGGTACCAAGACTCACGACTTTGAGGGCCAGGCTTTCCCTGTTGCTTGTGGAAAGAAGAACTAAGCGGGGTTTATTATTTCACGATCTAATGCTGCGGGACTCTATGACACAAGTTTCGATGTCTACATGAGTTCACTTCACAGTACTTTACATTTCACTCTGTAATAGTTAATGTTTTCAAATATAATCAACAAGAATTATACCATATCACAAACCACCTTTTGCCATTACTCGTATGTGTAGCACAGTCGCTGAGTGTCCATAGCTTCCTCAACCGTGACGTATCGCCTATCAGGAAGCAAGTTGCCAAAGTCCATCACGTAAGCAAGAGTGATGTTCTTGTACTCCTTTTCGCCAAAGAAATCATAAGGATACGCATACTGAGTATCAGGACCACTGATATCGCTCTTCCTAGCAGGCCAATCCAGCCTCTGCCATTTGTCCCAGAGTCTGTCAACATTGGTGTGATGCAGCCAGAAGATAGGATCGCCAGGCGAAGAGTACATGTCGCCCATCTCGCCAAGACTACCGCCAATGGCCAGATGACCGCCACCGTGATATCCTTGAGATTCAGAACTGACGCCGCCTTGGACACGCTGGTCGAACTCGAAGAAGTCTTTGGCCTCGATAGTCCAGTCGACTACGGTTTGGTTGAGCTTTGAGATGCCATATTCTGCAGAGATGTCGCGTGCCAGGCAACGTGGTTTGTAAGCAGTTGAGTTGTCTTGTACAGTTAGTCGGTTGCTTTAAAGGCGCTCATAGAGACATACCTGGACCTGCATGCACTTCAAACTCTCCCTTGGCAAATGGGCCATCGGTAAGGCAGCCTGTTTCACGTTAGCGCTTCCCAGTCCCGAAAATGTGTCATGACATACCTCCTCCTGTCCTGCCGGAGACCTTTCTAGTGACGTTTGTCCAGCCACTGATGTCGATGAAAACGCCGTTGCCTCCGAAGCCTGTCCCTGGGTCAAAGATGGGAGAACTTTCGAAGTCCTCCATAGAGTTAGAGTCAAGTGTCCAGTCTAGGCTCAGGTCATTAGCTGTCGTAAATGTTTTGTTGAGATAGACATACCCCAATAAGGTTGAGCACCACTATAGCAACAGAGATCTCGAAGATCTTTCTCATACTGGGCTATGAACATCCGATGCCACCTGTTTCTCATCAGCTCCTGACATTCGAATGATATGGCGATAATTATACGCTTGGAAGAACCCCTGTGAAGCTCGGTCAGTAGATATCTCACTAAAGATGCGCAAAAGCGGGCGACGGCTTACGACGTAGTGTATAAAGTCGGTATTTACGATATGGCTGACTTGAAAATCGTCGTAACGGGATTTGGCACCGGCGTAGATGTTTCCAGTCTGTGAAGGCTTCGTCGCGAGGCACTTGACCGCACCGATATACTCATGCTTCTCTTCGGTGCTCAAGGTTCTCCTACAAAAAAAGCCAGCCTTGTTAACAGTCCGAATGGAGAAGAAGTCAGAAATGTCTCTGTTTGGTGCAGCGACGGTATCCTTACCATTCTTTACGAACGAGAAGAGCATTGCAGCCGCAGTCATGAGTAGGTGCGCACAAGCTTGGCGCAGCAGCAAGGAGCGCGGTAGCTAGCAAAGATGGCAGATGCATACTGAATAAGCGAGAAACCTCAATCGTGAGATGTACAGTCTAATAACCTTTGTCTTCGAATTAAATTGGGCGGCATCTTGGTTCTTAAATTACGCTGTCTTGACCACTGAGCACGAACCCGTAAAAACAGGTATGCCAGCTGATGTTAAGCGAGGAATGATGGCTGAGATAAGTGCTGATTCCCAACCAATAACAATCGAAGTATCTGAGCGAAAATTGATCCTACAGAGCCTGGGCTTATATGTAGGCTCATTTAGTGATGAAGCTAGTGGTAATTGAGTTCAGACATACAATTTAAACTCTGAGTCGCGAAAGGAAACATCTGTGAGTGCAGTCTCTCAAGCTTTACTGGTATAGCCGTTGCCCTCATTTCCTCACATTTCTAGTTATGTTGACTTGAGTGACACGTGACTAACGACCATAGACAAAACAAATAAATATTTCACGACGTGAGTTTTAACCTTAGGTTATACTGACAGAAACTCCTTGCGAAATTTCACTGGTAGCTTCAGAAAAGAGTTATATATCACAGGCAAGAGATGCAGCGCCGGGAGGTTTCGTGGCTTAACAGGTAGACTAGCTATTGCTATGAACTCTCCGATACGAGGAATTGTTGAGCGCATTCAGCTAAAGATGGATCTGAGAAATAAGATCTACTTTGAAAAGAATATTTATTTAACTCATAAATGAAGCTTCTACTCCATAGTTAGACCACTTTTCAGTCTGTATGTTTCAAGCTCTTTGTACCTCATGTTACCTATGCAAAGCCAGATAAGCGCACGTGATATGAGCAGGGATCATGTCGCCAAGTCCTAGGTGAGGCTGAATTGCAGCATGTTGGTCTGCGCAGCCTGATCTGAAATTTCCCCTCAGCATCATCTTGCATCAGTGGAAGGCAATCATCCATGCCTCAGTGAATGTTTGAAAACTTCGTCGAAAGCCTCACCAGTCTCGACAAGCTGAAGAGCCAACATCAGCTAAGCCAACAGCTTGAGTGAATTGGGTCAAAATGGAGGGGCGGCGGTTGTCTCACAGTGAAGATGGCGCGCTGCCTTACCATGCAAAACGACGCAAAACTGGCTTCCACCAGGTTGAAAATGAGGCCATCCATGACCGCTATACAGTTGCCTGGATATGTGCATTGCACATAGAGATGGCTGCAGCCCGCGCTATGCTCGACGAGGAGCACGCGGACTGTCCATGGCAAGTTAACGATATGAATTCTTACGTGCTGGGGAGCATCAAAAATCACAATGTGGTGATAGCTTGCCTGCCGACTGACCACTATGGGACGAATAATGCTGCGACTGTTTTGAGTAACATGAGAAGGACGTTCCCCAACATTGAGATCGGCCTGATGGTAGGCATTGGTGGCGGGGTGCCGCTCAAAGCTGATATAAGACTTGGAGATATTGTTGTGGGCGTCAGAGTCATGCAGTATGACATGGGGAAAACACTCAGCAACGGGTTTCAACGGACGGCAGTTCCCAAAATACCTGACTCTACCATCCGAACAGTCATCTCAAATCTGAGATCACGACATGAGCTCAGTGAAAGCCGAGTTCCTTCCATATTGTGGGAGAAGATGGGGACCTACGCTGCTTATTCTCGACCCAGCGAGCCAGATCGTCTCTTTCAGCAGTCTTATCAGCACCCCTCTTCGTTTTCATCTTGTGATGAGTGTGACTCGTCTAGGCTAGAGACGAGAAAAATGCGATCGTCTACTGACCCGGTCATTCATTATGGAGGTATTGGCTCGGCAAACACTGTCATGAAGGACTCGACTGTTCGTGATGAGATCGCTCGAGAGCTAGATGTGCTTTGTTTTGAGATGGAGGCTGCTGGTCTGATGGATATCATGCCTTGTCTGCCTATTCGTGGTATCTGCGACTATTCTGACTCTCACAAATCGAAAGGGTGGCAGAGATATGCTGCGGCAACTGCAGCAGCTTACGCATATGAGTTCTTGGAACTATGGAGAGGAGACTCTCAACTATCGTATGTTGGCCACCATCAACCGCAATGTAAGTGATTCCACGGCGCCATAGTCTCCCCCTACAAGACTAATCTCCTCTAGCTGAGCACAACATGGTATCCGAGCGCCACGAAGAGATACTCAAATCTTTAAATTTCGAAGAGATCGATGTTCGCAAATCCATTATCAAAGCCGCGCACTCCAAAACCTGCCGATGGTTTCTCAAGCATCCCGATTACCTTTCATGGATAGACCCGCTACAAATACCGGAACATCGCGGCTTCTTGTGGATCAGAGGAAAGCCTGGAGCTGGAAAGTCCACTATTATGAAGTTCATCTATCTGGAGTCGAAGAAAAAGGACCGCAAACACCAGAGCCTCACTACCTCATTCTTCTTCAACGGTCGTGGAGAGATGTTGGAAAAGACTGTCTCAGGCATGTATCGATCTTTACTTTTGCAACTGTTCCATGGATTTCCCGACCTCGAATGCGTCTTGGATGATCCGGATCTTTTGCCCCGAAACCAAAGTGGTTGCCCTCCATTGAACGTCCTGAAGGACCTGCTCCGTGCCGCAGTAGCCAAGCTTGGCCAAAGATCATTCAGATGCTTCATCGATGCCCTTGACGAATGCGACGAACAGCAAGTTATGGATCTAGTCGAATACTTCGAGGATTTGGCCGAGCAATGCACTGAAAATAACATCGATCTTCGCGTCTGTTTCTCCAGTCGCCATTACCCCTACATTGATATAAAATACGGCATTCGTGTCATCCTCGAGGAGCAAACCGGACATGCCAGCGATCTCGAGAGATATATCAAGTCCAATCTTCGAATCAAAGACAGACCCCTGCTAGCAGAGCTTCAAGAGAAGATGCTTGAGAAAGCAGCGGGAGTATTCCTCTGGGTTGTCCTCGTGGTCGACATAATGAACAAAGAGAATTGCCGCGGGCGCCTGGCCGTGAGGAGACGACTTGAACAGGTTCCGAGTGGTCTAAGTGAGCTTTTCAAAGACCTACTAAAAAGAGACAATAGCAATATGGAGGAACTCCAACTGTCTCTTTTTTGGATCCTACTCAGCGAACGACCGTTAAAGCCGGACGAATACTATCACGCGATCTGGTCAGGGCTATATTTGGAGGGACTGGCAGACCTCAATGTACCCGAAGTGGACACAGAGGACTCAGAAGACTGCTTTGACCGTTGTGTTATCAGTTCATCTAAGGGTTTGGCCGAGATCACAAAAGTCAAGCACCTAAGAGTTCAATTCATACACGAGTCTGTTCGCGACTTTCTCATCAAGGACAAGGGTCTTCATGAGCTATGGCCAGAACTCGGACCAGACTGGGAGAGCGTAGGCCATGACAGGTTGAAAATGTGCTGCTATTCCTACTTCGAATTTGTTGTCGAGAAGGAAAAGCTCGAAGTCCAAGACTACAATGCTTTTGAGCTCAAGGTCATTGCGGAGACTAGGGCGTACCCTTTCCTTCAATATGCTAGTCAACTCGTTCTGCATCACTCTGAATTTGCAGCAAATACTGCTGACCAAGAAATATTCTTAGAGAGCTTTCGGACTTTTGCTTGGAAAGGGGTCGTCAACGCGTTTGAGAAGTTTAAAGTCCGTAAATACAGCCCAGATGCTGGGTTGCTATATATACTTGCGGACAGAGGACATTCATCACTCATACGGAAAAGACTAGAGAGCGATACTACTCCCATCATGCCTTCAGAGAAAGACAGATATGTATATCCACTTATAGCTGCCATGGCTAAAGCGGATAAAGCCAGCGTCCTTGCGCTCCTGCGTTTACCCTCCGCGCTTTATGAAGGGATGGATATTACACAAGGGCTATGGCGTAACATAGATGTTGGCGGCTTCGGCCGAACCCCACTTTCTTGGGCTTGCGAGAATGGATACTTGGGAATCGCAAGGGTTCTTGTTGAGAGAGACGCTCAACTCATAAGTAGCCTTGGAGCGCCGTACTCACCGTTAATGCTTGCGTCTAAACATGGTCATTCTGACATAGTGAGATGGCTGCTTGACCACCATGTGGACATTCACAAAAAGTATAAGAAAGAAAGTGCCATTTGGCTTGCACTAAGCAACGGCCACGCGGAAGTAGTCGAGCTCCTGCTCGATGCAGGGGCAGGTCTTAACACGTGCGGCGTTTATGAGACACCTATCCTAGGTCTAGCTGTTGAAAAAGGCAATAACAAGGTAGTGAATCTCCTTTTGCAGAAAGGGGCAGATGTTGATACAAAAAACCGTTGGAAAGAGACACCCCTTCATCTTGCTGCAGAAATGGAAGGATCTGAGGCCACAATGGAAGCACTTCTAAGATCCGGAGCAGATATCGAAGCCAGAGATCATGCAAACCGGACACCTCTCATGTTGGCCGTGATAAAGGCCTCCATCGATGAGATAGGGTTCCTGATTAGACAAGGAGCGGATGCAACGGCTCAAGACAACACAGGTCTCACCTGTCTCCACGCCGCTGTGAAGAGGAACACAGCAAACCTAGAGATTGTTCGATTGCTTCTTGAGAATGAGGCAAAGGCTGATGCTCGCACCAAATCTGGCTTAACGTGTCTCCATAGCCTCGCACAGCGGGCAGAAGCCATCCCTTCAACCTGCGCCATAATTCAGCTGGTCACTAGCCGCGGGACCGACATCAATGCCATGGACAATACTCTTCAAACACCATTGCATCATGTGACACGTTATGGAGACTTGGAAACTCTGTCAACGTTCACCGACCAGCCTGGTATGGACCTCAATGCTCGCAATCACCTAGGAATGACGCCATTGCACGTGGCAGCTACGCGTATTTCGTCTGCGAGAGAGAGGCTCGCCATACTGATAGGGAAAGGGGCGGATATTAATGCTCTGGATTATAAGTCAAGGACGCCGCTTGATGTCGCAAGGGAAATAGGTGACGTGGAAGTCTTTCAGTTCCTGATTGGAAATGGGGGAAAGTGAGATGTTGCATAGCTCTCGGAAGAATAAGTTCGTCGTGGCTAAAATACATGCTACAACTGACCCTCAAAAAATATGATTCTTTTTTAGTTAGCTAATAACCAAACGTCAGCATCTTGAACTTGTTGTAACAACTTGAGCGTTTTATTATCCGACCTTGGAAAGTTGGCAGATTCTTTGACTAATGGCATCTTGGCTCAAAGAAATATCAGCAAATGCCCGGACATGGTATCTACCCTTTTCTTGTCACCTAAGCTCACCGTTCAGATACGATTACCTTTAGATGCTTCACTTTTATACATTGTCATGGACCACTGAGAATCGTTCACCTACATAACGCTACATTAGATATGATATGACGTGAAAATGGTTGCCTTGTGACTTCCCTCTTACATCCTTAGTAATAGCATTAATCTCGTTCGTCGTAATCTTCTCACCGATGATGACACTTTGCTTGAGCCATTCCTCGTCCGTGTTCAACAAGGAATCAACGAAACGTGTAACATCAAAGCTGTCAGTGGAAACGACCTTATCCTCGCCAGAACCTGGGACAGCAGCCGCCTTGTTGGCCATGTCGACTAGAAATCAGCATGTTTGATATGAGTCTTGACTTAATAATAGCCATAGTAGTCAGAGAAATGCCTATTGGAGACGACTGTGTACTCGAGTTTCGTTTGCGAAAGGACGGCCAGGGTGGCAACTGCGGAGTCGGGTAGAGCTGATCCAAACACGTTAGGCTCGAGCGACTGTAAAGATAGTTGAGTGTCTCACCCTTGGGGTGTTGGAATGGACCATTGGCTAGCTATGAATCTGTGGGTTGTACTGGAAGAGTCACTGGCTCGAGCCAAATTGACCTCTGCCTGACTTGCTTCCGGACTGATGACGTTCAGACAGGAGATAACGACTTCCACGTTGTGTTTCTCAAGGGCATCGCGAATGTGAGTTACATTGGTGTAGTCCACGTAAATCGCGGACTCATCATCAACCTTCTTGACGATGTTAGCACATGATTCTAGCAAGAGCCATTATCTCTTACCTTGCGAGGTAAAACCAAACCCCGGTTTTGTTGATTCTGGCTAAGAACCTCAACAATTGTCTTGCCGACATCTCCTTGACCGCCGGCCACAGCAACAACATGCACCATGATTCGAGATAAGATAACAGTTATACTGTAACGACTTCTAGTTGAACTTATATGGATCCAATGAGAAAGAATTATATTTATTCCTATAAATTTATTTTATTCCTGGGAAACCCCATTTAGTCTTGGCACAGGTTCGGAGGTGGCACACTACATGTCAACTGGAGCTGCTCAATCCGACCCCAATGCAGACATCGCTGCGGACCTTGAATCTCTATCGTAACCAATGATACGAGTTATTTTTCGTAATTCAGTTGGACACCGGACTTGGTCGGAATTTGATACAACACCGAGCGGAGGGGTATCCGACACTAACAGCAAATCCATCTATATCCGTATATCCGCTGGGCATTAGCCGCTCCTACAAGGTCTGTGAAGCGGATGTGGGGTAGGTGCAACCAGATTAGGTTTTCCTGTAATGGAACTTACAGTCATACGACTGTATCGAAAAGTCTCCTGAGATTCTTGTTGACCACTGCTGAGGAGAGTTTTCTTACACAATCGTAATCTGCAATCACATTTGATATCATCAGCATGTTAACACCGGACTTCAACCTGAAACCGTAGCTACTGCTAAGCTTCTTACAAAGATTGAATCTTACTATGTATTGATGGCACAAAAGATCTTAGCCATTATCCCATAACCCGAAGTACACTGATCGTAACATTTTAAAGGCCTGAACTATAGTCGGAAAGAGCAGTTAAGGTCTGTATTAGCCAAAGCGAGGTCTTCATTAAGGTCTACGGAACATCATGCCACAGAAGCCGCAAGATTCTGAAGCATCGGAATGTCCATCTCATAAAGATCATTTCCATCCTCATCCACAAACACCGACGCTCCCTCGCTGATCATCAACATCTCCGTCTCCACCTCAAAAAAAAAGCGGATCGTGTCGCGCCCCCTCATGTCCTGAAACATAATCACCTTTCTCAAAGTGTCCAGCTTGCGGATGGTCACCCTTTCCCTTCAAGATGTAAATCTCTGCGCCCTTGACACGCCGATGGCGAGGGAGAACACCTCCAGGCTCAGCGCTGATCATGACTGTATAAGCACCGGTCTCAGGTGTGAGTTCGATGAGTTTGATCCAGATCTTTGGGGCTGGAGGAAGCCACTTTAAATCGTCGCAGTGAACCGCGTCGCCCACGTTGGAGGATTGTGTTGATGGATTTGGCGAAGCCATTGCGTAAGTGGGTTGCGTAGAAAGGGATATAAGTGTAGGACTAAAGACTGAGAAAGAAATTGGTAGGCTCTGATGCTGTTTCTTTAGTGGTAATCCCTGGTATCTGAGACGGGTTTAAAGCATAGAAATTTTAATCGCATAAAGATCCTTTCTGTCATTATCTATAAACACCGATGCTCCCTCGACGCAATCTGCATGACCTTGGAGCCTTCCATCAGACTTATACAGAAAGATTGATTGAATTGAATATATCAACTCTATGATGAACAATCATGGATCTCTCTGCTCATGTACTAAAACACCATGATTCTTTGAAGACGGTGAAGTCGACTCGATGATTTCAACGGGAGCCGGCGACGTTGCAGGGACAGAGCGTCTCTTCTTTCTCAAAAGCCTAGTAAACAAGAAAAGTTAACAACTGAGACCCATAGAGAATAGCTGGTTACTGATGCAACTGAGGCTTACTCTAGGAGAAAATGCAAAATATTCACTTACAAAACCACAGCGATCCCTCCCAAGAGAAAGGGCACTCCAAGGCCAACGCTAACACCGATAATGACACTTTTGGAAACTCCGCCAGATTTCCCATTCGATGTGCCATTTGGATCATCATCTTTGCCATTTTCTTTAGCTGAAGTTGTCGTGGTTGGCGGAACATAAGAAGACGGAACTCCAGACATTGCTGCCAACTTATTTGCGCCGTTTCCAAATGGAATCAAGCTCGTTATAGTATTTCTAACGGACTCGGGGAAATTCGCCTCGCTGTCAGGTGGAATGACTGTGACATGTGTCCGTGTCGTGGTGTACTTCGACGTTGTCTGAAGCGACATTGGGCAGTTGACCAATCCTTCTGATTGACATGCTACAACAACGAATGTCGCTTTGGTAGATATTGTTGTCGTCTCCATCTCAACTTCGTCATCGTTCTTCTCTCTCACCTCCAGTGCCGGGGACGTCGTGACGGATAACGAAGCATCGCTGCTTCGTTGACTGGCACAAGCATGTCCCAGCGTTGTGTAGAAGACAGGAATCTCCGTTTCGGGCACTGGTCCCCATGTCATATCATCAATAGCAACCGAAGCTCCAGCAGCAGCGCCAACAGCTATTTGATAGACTTCCTCAACGCGAAGGCTGCAGTCGTCGTCTTCATCCGTGGAAAGAGTGACGTTGGTGATTAACTCGGCAATGTTGGCAAATACTCCCACTTCGACACCTCCGCCAACGTTAAACATTGTCTTCCCAGCAATAGACACTTCAGGCGATGCTATTTCAAAGCCTGCTTTTACACCGACACGTAGAACAGCTTTGAACACGACACCGGCACTCTCGAGAGTGACTGGCAGAAATTCGAAGTCGCCACCATTTCTATTGGCCTTCTCTTAGTTTATATCAAGAAATCGTCACAGAAACAACACCTACATCGTAAGACTAGAAATTTCCTTTGAGAAGATGGCAATGTCAAACAAAACACCATCATCCAGTCTGAGGTGGAACCCGCTACTGATGTTGATCTCTCCTTCTACAGACAGGATGAGGTCAATGGCGAAGATCACACCAATTTCCAGATTGTCTCGAACAGCGAAGCCTGCAGGTGTAGTAGAAGTGTACAGGTTCAGAGTATAGGTGGCACCAGCCGAGAGGACCGTGTCGATCAACATGTATACTTCCACGCCGTCGAATTGGAACTGAAGTCGGAACTCCGGGATTTCGGGTATGTCAACATTCAAGTTGTAATCCAATGGCGGTAGGTCGAAATCGTCCAAGTCAAATCCATCTTCCAGATTATCTGCCACCGTATCGATGTAATTCTCTATGTAATCGGCCGTTTCGTCTGCAAGGCTCTCGATCTCGCGTTTGACTTGGTTTGTAAAGTTGCTAAAAGCGCGGCTGATATTGAATTCACGGTCATATTTGAACTCTGTGGTAGCGGTTCCTTTGATATAGCATGTCGCGCAAGTGATTTCGATGCTGGCGGAAACTGAAGTGTTTCCTTGCCTGGAATCCAGCTCTTGCTCACTGCAAACAGATCAACATAGTCAGGACATGATGCTAAGGGTTCAGTGGCTTGTAGGAATTAACACACCCCGTGTACGCGAAAAGAACAGCATTGACCCAACTTGTGTCTAGAGACGTGCTGTTTTTCTGCTTCGAGTCTTTTGGCTGTCGGCCCGGGCGGGCGGGGTTTCTTGGAGCGAGACTCAGTGTGTTGTACGCAGAGTAATCAGGCGTGTTGCCAGCACGAATAACAGAAGCGCTTCCGAAGACTAGGAATGGCCTTGTCGCTAGAAAAAGGCCGAGTAGTAAAGCGTCAAACAACATCTTGTTGAAGCACTGATTGGCGTATAAGCAAAATCGCCAAGAGACAAGAAGGAAAGAAATTACGAAAAGACATTGGGGGGCAGTGCCTTCTTCGTAATTTCAATGGCCTGTTTGCACTTATCTGTATTGGTTTCAAGTTCTGCATGTTGGTTCTCAAATATGCATGTTGGCTCTGGATTAGGGGAGAAGCCCATGTTACGACAGGGAACCTACTCCCTGACCCACCCAGCTGAAAGACATTTCCTCCCTTTTAAGGCATAGTCAATATTTCAATGTTACAGCAACGTCGAATTAATGCAAGTTGGCCTGGTGGTTAACAACCCGTGATAGAAAGTACCGCGTATGGAGTGATACAGGAAGAGGTCCGTGAGGCCTTTTGAAATGAGGGTGAGGCAGTGCATCCAGGATTGAAACGGCTGAGCGAGCCACTATCTCATATTCTAAAGTACACTGATTATAACAGTCTGAGGCCTTTTGGTCCAGTGGTCAAGACTGTTGGCTTGGGATAGACTCTTGAATCAATATTTACCAGTGGCCTTTTGTCTTCTTTTTTAATAATTATGTCAATAGCCTACTCCTATGATAACATGCGAATCCCAGCACGAATGTGCTTCAAAGATCGGTTCAGCGTTCTCTATCACCAGGTCAATCTCGCAATGAGCACAACATAAAGCACAAATACAAATTTTATAATGAAAATGAAGTTTAATACTTAAGACTAGTATTCAATTTAAACCATCGCATGGAAGAAGCATGATAAGCCTATGGTAAAGAAGGGGCTTCCAGAAACAAGCCCGACAAAAGTTTGAAGCCTTTGGCGATCCACCGAACCTCAACCCAAATCGAGTACCAGAACTTTTGGATCAGAAGCAATAAGGCACCTCTAGTGCCGCTGTGGACGGGGACGCCAGAAATCCAGAAGCCATAACGATCCAACCACAAGGGCACAACCCCATCTACGTTGCATAACCGCCACGCCAAAACGCGGAAACCAGATTTCTCAATCTCGCGAAAATCAGGCTTCAGACGTTCGTAGACTACAGAGGGCCAAAGTGTAGCGCGATCCTCAAAGATAGTCTCTTCCCTGTTGTCGACCATATCGCACATCATTTGGTTACGTATGCAAAGGATCTCTATGTCCCCAGCAAGAGTATCTCCAGGTTGAAGAGAACGCACCCATCTCCAGTCGTAGAACATATTAGCTTCAAGCTCGTTGAAGCTGTAGATGTACTGCGGCTTGCATTCGCGGCGGAGGTAGAGACTGCAGGCAACATTCCTGATACCACGGTCAGCGTCAAGAATAAAATCTGTGAGAATGGAGTGCTTGATGGAAAGGTTAGGATGTGGATTAGTTTTTACTCTGCCAGCACGAGACTTGGGGTTGATGTCAGGAATAGGTCCAGCTATCGCGGGATTTTCGTGCCGTCTGAAATTGTAAGCCATCATGATTTCGTTCTTCCTTTGCTGCTTCGGGAGTGCAGCCGTGCTGGTGTAATAAAACTGCTTGTTATTTTCAATCATCCCACATTTCTGAAGGTCATCTAGCAATGATTCCAACTCAGGGGCCAAACGGTAAGTATCTTCAGCCGGGGCAGGATTGACTTTATTGACCAAGACTGGAGAGCATGGGCCGTTCGTCGTCTCTCGGAGCCCAAGGTTCCACTTCATGACGCGAATGCCATTCTCCAAAGCCTTGGTTCGTCGTTGAATCTCACCTTGTTTGCGAGCCGCAGGCCAATAATCGATGAAAGGGTATTCGAGAACCTCTCCGTCCTCCAGCGACTCCGACACCGATAAGAATGACTTCGCATCGCATTCAAGGTTCTCATTCAAGCCAAACCTGCGAGCTAAAGATCCGCTACCTAACTTGAGAGCATGGACTTCGTACTCCAGTGCCCGGAGCCGATCTTGAATTTCCCCATTGTGGCGAGCCGTGATACACAGTTCCATTATTGAAGAGAGTGCTTGATGAACCTGCTGTTGAAACTGATTTTCCTAGTACTATTAGTGATGGGGTTTCTGGTATTGGAGCTGCCTGATGGTGAATCTGTCTAGATTTTGGGCAAAGCTTAGGTTCTTATAAGGCTCTATGCTTCTGCAGGATATATAGCGCTCATGCCATGGTGAACATCAGCAGCGAACATTCAGTAGGAAATCGTGAACAGGACAGCAAGACTAATAAATAAAGGTTGGAGGAATAACAATTATATATGAACATTGAACTAGATTTGGGTCTGAAAGACATGACAAACAAATATGTAATTGAGAGGCTTGTTGCCAAGTGGAGTGCTGGCTGTTGAATATTCTCATGTGACACATAAAGGCCTCCCCGTCAGACCCTCGAATTTCCCGGTTGATACACTGCACAGCTACGAAAACACAGTGGCCAAAGCCCGTATACCAGCTCGCGATCGGATTGTGAGACAAGTATACTGCAGTTAAACGCTGTCCTTGCTCCATTTTCCCCTACCTCTGATATTTTTACCCCAAACAAAGAACAGAAACGGAACAGGTATCAACGCCGCAGCAATACAACCAAAGACGGTTGTTCCCCAGTCTACTCCCAGTTTGTGATACATGGGGATGATGAACAAAGGAAATGCGCCTGAGAACATGGATCGCATAAAGGTATTGGCTGCAACTGCACTTGCGCTGTACCGAGTGAACGTGTCAATGAGATAACCTAGTGCAGCTTGGAAGATAGTTGTGAAGCCAAGGCCTGTCAAAGCGATGCCGATTATGGAAGGCCAGTGGTTGATGCTAGGAGATGAGGTCCCTAATATTTTTAGTCTTGAAGTCTCATCGCAACCAATGCCACTTACAAGCAAAGAGGAACTGTCCGGCTGTAAAGACGATACCACCGAGCATCATCGGAGGCAATCTCGCTTCCGGAACAGCTCTGTATCCATTCTCCATAAGTCTCCTACGATAGTATTTGTTATTGTAAATATTGACCGCTGCTGCGCAAAGGATGCCGATCAACAGAGCGATGAAAGGCAAGGTGCCAACTACGGGTCCCCATTGGCGCACTTCCTGGTACTCGATGGAAAAGCTTTCGAGGTTCGCATAGAGAATTCCTGGACTTGATGAGCATTGGTGTGGAATGTTTGCAAGACGGTTTACCATAGACGAATAAGGCGTAGAGCGACATGAGAAAACAGATTGGTGTTGCCATCATTTGGAAAGGGCGGATGAAGTACTTCTGGTATAGCTCTTTGAATGACACGTCCCATTCCTCATGCTATCGTACTGTCAGCTCGTAATCTCATAGTGTAGTGCTCAACTCACCTTAGCATGCAGCGCCCAATCTTGCGTTCGAAGCCTTAGCTTATGGGCCTTCCTAGCCAATAAAATAGGTGCATAGCTCTCATCAATCACCAAAAGATCAACCCCAAGGTGGGCCATCATAATAATACCAGTGAGGTACTCGGTCCGCCTCCAGCCTAGACGACTCGAGCACAGCGCTCCGCCAATTATAGGACCCAATGTCGGACCTCCAACTATAGTAACCCCGTATGCGACAATCGCGCTACCAAGTTGGTGAGGGGCCCATATATCCGCCATAACACCTCCGGTAATCGTAACAGGCGCGCTGCCGAAGAGGCCCGAGAAGAAACGCGTGATGAGAATTGTTTGGATGTCTTTGGCTGTAGCTGTACCGAACGAGAATTCGGCAGAAACAGGTTCAATGGCGGCAGCGAAGATGGCAAAGGCCAAAGTGATCCAGCACGTCGTGAGACCATAAGAAATGGTGGTGATGAACTTTTTGCGGAAGGGCCAGTTCATCGGGTTGTAGGGATCATCTGGACCGTCTAATGTTACGAGATGGTCTGGGCATTGATCATCAGTCGTAGGTTACTGGTCCGACGCCATTTTGGGCGTTATGGTAAGTTGATCGCGCGTGTTCCATATTGATCTTGAGTCTGCGAATAGTCGACTATCCTGTAGATGCTGCTCCCCTCTGGTCTTTTATTTTCGTTCTTCATTTCTTTGGTCAGGTAAATGTATTGGCAATTAGTTTAGTTGCCTCCTCCTTATGCGATGGCCGGCGCCGAGTTGACAACTGAGGTCCAACTCCTATTAAGAGCTGAACAACGGATCCTCCGCTGGTAGCATCGATCAATATTTCCATGCCGAGCCCGATCATGTAGAGACCGCTTCTAAAACCCAGGAGCTGGCTACGCAGCGGTGCGAATGATATTGATTAGATAGGCCAAGTTGCTACGGTTGGCCCTGAAGATGTCCTCTGTAACAATGACTAAGCTATAGTGGGTCCCCTGTAATTCGAAACAGCCTTTGCTCACTGATTGGACCAATTTTGGCACGTGAGTGTGAGTCGGAGACGCATAAGCTTACCCGTGTCCGCCTGGTCCGTGTGCTATCGATGTTAGCCGCTGATACAGGCAGACTCTCGATGTTGGTTCGTCACCTCAGCCCTTACATTCGAATTCTCTCAACAATTCAAGAGCCAGCCATGACTTCTTCAATCTCAGATAAATCCCCTCCGAGAGTTCCGACGACTTCCATCGCTGCTGAAATCTCAGACTCTCCCCTTCCAACTCCAGTGACTCCATCTAATCCACTTCACCCACGAAGCTGCACCTTTTGCCGCCAGCGGAAGGTGAAGTGTGATCGCCAGAAGCCCTGTTCTCATTGCCTCCGCGCTAATAACGATTGCTCATATCCCGCTGGTCGAGGTAGAGCTGCCAAGAAGCCTGCACGGACGCTGGATACTCGTCTTGTTGATCGACTCCAAAAATTGGAAAACATCATCAAACAACTTAACAGTGAGGTCGATGCTACAGCCAATGCTGTTCCATCTGGCAGTGGCACAGATGGAGAAAGTGTATCCACGCCCGGTGGCATGAGGAATGGCCCGCCCGGAGTGGACAATTCTGCCCCTGACGCTTCCATCGACCAGCAACTTGGTCGTCTGATGATAGATGATAGCAAGAGCTACTACGTCAGTAACATTCTATGGGCCAACCTGGGAAACGAAGTAAGTCCTCCAACACCGCATTTTATTCATCGCCGCTGCTTACTAGCCTGCTATTCAGATCGAAGAATTACGCGACATGTTACAGGACACTCTGTCTGAAGACCATGTCAATAACCCTACTGAGCCATCGACCCCCATACACGAGGTGGCCTCACCTCTTGGAACAAGCGCTTCAGTCCTCGGATATCGATCCCTCTGTCACTCTCTTCATCCCTATCACCCTCCTATGCACCTATCAGTCACTCTCCTGAACATCTTCATCGAAAATGTCCTTCCGCTAGTGCATATCCTTCATATGCCTACCACAGAACAGTGGTTCTGGGACTCCATCATCTCACTTGATACAATCGATAGAAACTCAGAAGCCCTGCTATTTGCCATATACTACTCGGCAGTCATCAGCATGGATGATGGACAGTGTTTAGGCGTCCTCGGGGAGTCACGGTCTACTTCGCTAAACAAGTTCCGCTTTGCAGTCGAGCAAGCTATGGCGCGCGCCAACTTGCTGAATACGCAGAGCCTCGTTCTTCTCCAGGCTGCTGTCCTATTCCTCTCAGGTCTCCGAAACGAAGACGACTCCAGAACGACATGGTCTTTGACATCGCTGATTTTTCACATCGCTCAAGCCATGGGCCTGCACCGTGACGGAACTACTTTTGGCCTCAAACCATTTGATACAGAATTACGGCGGCGGCTCTGGTGGCATATATGTCTACTAGACATGCGCTCTTCTGAGTTCCACGGTTATGAACCTATAGTAGGAGAAGACGTGTTCGACACAAAGGTTCCCCTGAACATCAATGATAATGATATCACCCCCCATATGACGGAGACTCCTCAAGAGCATGAGGGATACACTCAGATGACGTTCTGTCTGATCCGTTGCGAGGTAATGAAAGCTGGCTGGAAGGTTGGATATGCATCACTGTCTCCAAGGTCGACAGCCACCGCAGTACGAGGTGATGGTGAACTAAATGCCCAAGAACTCAAGACCCGATTAGAAGAACGCTATCTGCGTTACTGTGACGAGTCCGTGCCATTCATACTGTTCATATCAAAGGTCGCCCAACTCATCGTTGCCCGCACAGGGCTCATCGTTGACTTCCCGAGGAAACAGAGGGACGCATATGCCTCGGCAGCCATTCGAGACCGACTATTTTCCAGTTCGATGGAAGTTCTCGAACTTTCGTATTTTATCTTGGCCAATAGCAGTATCTCGAAGTGGACATGGCACTCTAAAGCGCATATCCAGTGGCATGCAGTAATCTTTGTGCTGTCTGAAATCTGCTCTCGTCCAGCGTCTCCGGAATGCGATCAGGCTTGGGAGTTTATCAATACAGTTCATAATCGATGGGGTATGAATGAAAGGGGTAAGAGAGGGAACCTCTGGAGACCGATTCAGAGACTCATGGTCAAGGCTCGTTATGTAAGGGAGATGCAACAACTAGATCCAGGTTTTCATCTTCCTAGGAGAACGGCTATGACTGATGCGACACCCGTGCAACCTGAAAGTGCTGGATCCCAGCAGGAAACTCAAGATTCATACGGTATGCCTGACATGGCGAGTCCGGATGCGTGTATGGATTGGATGCTGGGAGATCTTGGTATAGACCTGTACGGTGGAATGATGAATGGACCCAGCTGGGGCTAGGACAAACATGTGTACCATATTTCAGAATCGACTCCCCATCAACTAATCTACATAATTCAATTCCCATTTCCGCTCTTTATACACCAGCACTGACATCAACCAAAATCTTGACATGATTATCCTTATCATTGATAAGCGTCTGGAACCCCTCTTCAACAACCTTATCCATCTTGATCACCTTTGTAATCATCCCTTCAGGCGTAATCTTGCCATTCGACAGCGCCTCAATGACCTCCTCAAAGTCACCAAGAGCATACGTGGCGCTAAACTAAGTTAGAATCGCTTCAATGACGACAGAGAGAACTTACCATCCAACATATGATCGTTCACGGAACACGATCTGGTTCATGTTCAATTGAGCCCTCTTTTCCCAAACGGCGATATTGACGAGTACTGCTCTGGCCTTGAGGCAATCGAAAGCAGCGTCAATCGCATGCTGAGATCCAGCTGCGTCGAAACCGACGTCTGCGCCCAAACCGTCGGTCAATTTCTTGACTTCAGCCACGATGTCGTCTTTGGTGGGGTCGAAAACATGATGAGCGCCAAACTTCTTTGCAAACTCTCTTCGCTTCGAGCTGACTTCACTCAGAATAATGTTCTTGCATCCTCTGCCAATCAAAGCCTGCACAACAGCCAGCCCAATTGGTCCACCGCCAACAACAAACGCGGAATCACCTTCTTGATATGGCGATATCTTGATAGCATGCCATCCAACAGCCAGCGGTTCAACAAGCGCTCCAACCTCGAGAGAAACATTATCAGGCAACTTCTTCACAGCATCCTGCGGAACAACGGTCGTTTCACAGAGACCGCCTCCCCAACCACTCAACCCGATAAACCCATTCTTATCACAGCAATTGACTAGCCCGCGCTTGCATGAGCGGCACTCATTATCGTAGATAATCGGCTGAACGCAAACGCGATCTCCTTTCCGGAGGCGCGTAACTTCACTCCCGACTTCTTCAACAATGCCGCTGAACTCATGACCCAGAGTGAGGGGCGATGTTTCCCCGGTGATGCCGTGCGGGGTGCCGGGCTTGGGAATGAGATTGTTGCCACCGAGATACTCGTGGACGTCTGTCCCGCAGATTCCGCAGAACTTGGGGGCGATGCGAACCGAGTTTGAGTTGAGAGTTGGGAGGGGTACGTCTTCTAGCCGGACATCCTGCTGTCCGTGGAAACGCACTGCTTTCATTGACATGATGGAGATTTACACAGTAGTGCCAACAATAGTGATGGGAAGAAGAGAGGGGTTGTATCTTGAAGAAACGTTGCTTTTATAACATCCTCAGCTGATTCAGAACGTGACTACCTTCCCCTCATTGTACGTGTTTCCAGAGATAGTAATGCGAAGTCACAAAGTCACTTATAAGCCTAACGTGATGGGATGATCGGATTACCTGATGCGGATTAGGTTAGTGTTAAGAATGGACAGGGGGATGTTTCCACGAATGAGGAGTGGCCTGGGGATGCGGGGAAGACTCGGTGAGTACCGACCAACATGAGATCGTGATCAGCGAGGACTTCAAGTGGTCTGCTGCATTGAGTCTCGCCATAAATCAGCAAATCGATGGAGGTGGCAAGTGCAATAAATGACTAGGTCGAGTTCGGCATTACAGGCAGGATCTATGTCCTCACTCTATTGACGTTTATTTTACTCAACCATATAGGTTGCCATTTGGCACCAAACAACAGGTATATACGTCTATTTCTCATCCTTGTTACAAAGAACGTCTCAAGGCTTT